TGGTCCAGGAGCTTGCCTGGTCCAGCAGCTTGGGGTTTAGGGTGCGCCTGGTCCCTAAACCCTGGTCCAGGAGTGTGCCTGGTCCAGGAGTGTGCCTGGTCCAGGAGCTTGCCTGGTCCAGGAGCCTGCCTGGTCCAAGAGCTTGCCTGGTCCAAGATCTTGCCTGGTCCAGGAGCTTGCCTGGTCCAGGAGCTTGCTTGGTCTAGGAGCTTGCCCGGTCCAGGAGCTTGCCTGGTCCAGGAGCTTGCCTGGTCCAGGACCTTGCCTGGTCCAAGAGCTTGCCTGGTCCAGGAGCTTGCCTGGTCCAAGAGCTTCCCTGGTCCAAGAGCTTGCCTGGTCCAGGAGCTTGCCTGGTCCAGGAGCTTGTCTGGTCCAGGAGGTTGCCTGGTCCAGGAGCGTGCCTGGTCCAGGAGCGTGCCTGGTCCAGGAGATTGCCTGGTCCAGGAGCTTGCCTGGTCCAGGAGCTTGCCTGGTCAAGGAGCATGCCTGGTCCAGGAGCTTGCCTGGTCCAGCAGCTTGCCTGGTCCAGGAGCTAACCTGGTCCAGGAGCTTGCCTGGTCCAGGAGCTTGCCTGGTCCAGGAGCGTGCCTGGTCCAGGAGTGTGCCTGGGCCAGGAGCTTGCCTGGTCCAGGAGCTTGCCTGGTCCAGGAGCTTGCCTGGTCCAAGAGCTTGCCTGTTCCAAGAGCTTGCCTGGTCCAGGAGCTTGCGTGGTCCAAGAGCTTGCCTGGTCCAAGAGCTTGCCTGGTCTAGGAGCTTGCCTGGTCCAAGAGCTTGCCTGGTCCAGGAGCTTGCCTGGTCCAGGAGCTTGCCTGGTCCAGGAGATTGCCTGGTCCAGGAGCTTGCCTGGTCCAGGAGCTTGCCTGGTCAAGGAGCATGCCTGGTCCAGGAGCTTGCCTGGTCCAGCAGCTTGCCTGGTCCAGGAGCTAACCTGGTCCAGGAGCTTGCCTGGTCCAGGAGCTTGCCTGGTCCAGGAGCGTGCCTGGTCCAGGAGTGTGCCTGGGCCAGGAGCTTGCCTGGTCCAGGAGCTTGCCTGGTCCAGGAGCTTGCCTGGTCCAAGAGCTTGCCTGGTCCAAGAGCTTTCCTGGTCCAGGAGCTTGCGTGGTCCAAGAGCTTGCCTGGTCCAAGAGCTTGCCTGGTCTAGGAGCTTGCCTGGTCCAAGAGCTTGCCTGGTCCAGGAGCTTGCCTGGTCCAGGAGCTTGCCTGGTCCAGGAGCTTGCCTGGTCCAGGAGCGTGCCTGGTCCAGGAGCGTGGCTGGTCCAGGAGCTTGCCTGGTCCAGGAGCTTGCCTGGTCCAGCAGCTTGCCTGGTCCAGGAGCATGCCTGGTCCAGGAGCTTGCCTGGTCCAGCATCTTGCCTGGTCCAGCAGCTTGCCTGGTCCAGGAGCTTGCCTGGTGAAGGAGCTTGCCTGGTCCAGGAGCTTGCCTGGTCCAGGAGCGTGCCTGGTCCAGGAGTGTGCCTGGTCCAGGAGCTTGCCTGGTCCAGGAGCTTGCCTGGTCCAGGAGCTTGCCTGGTCCAAGAGCTTGCCTGGTCCAAGTTCTTGCCTGGTCCAGGAGCTTGCCTGGTCCAAGAGCTTGCCTGGTCCAAGAGCTTGCCTGGTCTAGGAGCTTGCCTAGTCCAGGAGCTTGCCTGGTCCAGGAGCTTGCCTGGTCCAGGAGCTTTCCTGGTCCAGGAGCTTGCCTGGTCCAGGAGCTTGCCTGTTCCAGGAGCGTGCCTGGTCCAGGAGCTTGCCTAGTCCAGGAGCTTGCCTGGTCCAGGACCTTGCCTGGTCCAAGAGCTTGCCTGGTTTAGGAGCTTGCCTGGTCCAAGAGCTTCCCTGGTCCAAGAGCTTGCCTGGTCCAGGAGCTTGCCTGGTCCAGGAGCTTGTCTGGTCCAGGAGGTTGCCTGGTCCAGGAGCGTGCCTGGTCCAGGAGCGTGCCTGGTCCAGGAGCTTGCCTGGTTCTGGAGCTTGCCTGGTCCAGGAGCTTGCCTGGTCAAGGAGCATGCCTGGTCCAGGAGCTTGCCTGGTCCAGCAGCTTGCCTGGTCCAGGAGCTAACCTGGTCCAGGAGCTTGCCTGGTCCAGGAGCTTGCCTGGTCCAGGAGCGTGCCTGGTCCAGGAGTGTGCCTGGGCCAGGAGCTTGCCTGGTCCAGGAGCTTGCCTGGTCCAGGAGCTTGCCTGGTCCAAGAGCTTGCCTGGTCCAAGAGCTTGCCTGGTCCAAGAGCTTGCGTGGTCCAAGAGCTTGCCTGGTCCAAGAGCTTGCCTGGTCTAGGAGCTTGCCTGGTCCAAGAGCTTGCCTGGTCCAGGAGCTTGCCTGGTCCAAGAGCTTGCCTGGTCCAGGAGCTTGCCTGGTCCAGGATCGTGCCTGGTCCAGGAGCGTGGCTGGTCCAGGAGCTTGCCTGGTCCAGGAGCTTGCCTGGTCCAGCAGCTTGCCTGGTCCAGGAGCATGCCTGGTCCAGGAGCTTGCCTGGTCCAGCAGCTTGCCTGGTCCAGCAGCTTGCCTGGTCCAGGAGCTTGCCTGGTGAAGGAGCTTGCCTGGTCCAGGAGCTTGCCTGGTCCAGGAGCTTGCCTGGTCCAGGAGCTTGCCTGGTCCAGGAGCTTGCCTGGTCCAAGAGCTTGCCTGGTCCAAGAGCTTGCCTGGTCCAGGAGCTTGCCTGGTCCAAGAGCTTGCCTGGTCCAAGAGCTTGCCTGGTCTAGGAGCTTGCCTAGTCCAGGAGCTTGCCTGGTCCAGGAGCTTGCCTGGTCCAGGAGCTTTCCTGGTCCAGGAGCTTGCCTGGTCCAGGAGCTTGCCTGTTCCAGGAGCGTGCCTGGTCCAGGAGCTTGCCAAGTCTAGGAGCTTGCTTGGTCCAGGAGCTTGCCTGGTCCAAGAGCTTGCCTGGTCCAGGAGCTTTTCTGGTCCAAGAGCTTGCCTGGTCCAGGAGCTTGCCTTGTCCAGGAGCTTGCATGTTCCAGGAGCTTGCCTGGTCCAGGAGCTTGCCTAGTCCAAGAGCTTGCCTGGTCCAGGAGGGTGCTTGCTCCAAGAGCTTGCCTGGTCCAGAAACTTGCCTGGTCCAGGAGCTTGCCTTGTCCAGGAGCTTGCCTGGTCCAGGAGCATGCCTGGTCCAGGAGCTTGCCTGGTCCAGCAGCTTGCCTGGTCCAGGAGCTTGCCTGGTGAAGGAGCTTGCCTGGTCTAGGAGCTTGCCTGGTCCAGGAGCTGGCCTGGTCCAAGAGCTTGCCTAGTCCAGGAGCTTGCCTGGTCCAGGAGCTTGCCTGGTCCAAGAGCTTGCCTGGTCCAAGAGCTCGCCTGGTCCAGGAGCTTGCCTGGTCCAAGAGCTTGCCTGGTCCAGGAGCTGAGCTTGCCTGGTCCAGGAGCTGAGCTTGCCTGGTCCAGGAGCTTGCCTGGTCCAGGAGCTTGCCTGGTCCAGGAGCATGCCTGGTCCCGCAGCTTGCCTGGTCCAGGAGCTTGCCTAGTGAAGGAGCTTGCCTGGTCCAGGAGCTTGCCTGGTCCAGGAGCGTGCCTCGTCCAGGAGTGTGCCTGGTCTAGGAGCTTGCCTGATCCAGGAGCTTGCCTGGTCCAGGAGCTTGCCATGTCCAGGAGCTTGCCTAGTCCATGAGCTTGCCTGGTCCAAGAGCTTGCCTTGTCCAAGAGCTTGCCTAGTCCAGGAGCTTGCCTGGTCCAAGAGCTTGCCTCGCCCAAGAGCTGACCTGGTCCAGGAGCTTGCCTGGTCCAGGATCTTGCCTGGTCCAGGAGCTTGCCTGGTCCAGGAGCTTGCCTGGTCCAGGAGCGTACCTGGTCCAGGAGCTTGCCTGGTCCAGGAGCTTGCCTGGTCCAGGAGCTTGCGTGGTCTAGGAGCTTGCCTGGTCCATGAGCGTGCCTGGTCCAGGAGCTTGCCTGGTCCAGGAGCTTGCCTGGTCCAGGAGCTTGCCTAGTCCAGGAGCTTGCCTGGTCCAGGAGCTTGCCTGTTCCACGAGCGTGCCTGGTCCAGGAGCTTGCCAGGTCGAGGAGCTTGCTTGGTCCAGGAGCTTACCTGGTCCAGGAGCTTGCCTGGTCCAGGAGCTTTCCTGGTCCAGGAGCTTGCCTGGTCCAGGAGCTTGTATGTTCCAGGAGCTTGCCTGGTTCAGGAGCTTGCCTGGTCGAAGAGCTTGCCTGGTCCAGGAGCGTGCCTGGTCCAAGAGCTTGCTTGGTCCAGAAGCTTGCCTGGTCCATGAGCTTGCCTGGTCCAGGAGCTTGCCTGGTCTAGGAGCTTGCCTGGTCCAGGAGCATGCCTGGTCCAGGAGCTTGCCTGGTCCATCAGCTTGCCTGGTCCAGGAGCTTTGCCTGGTGAAGGAGCTTGCCTGGTCCAGGAGCTTGCCTGGTCCAGGAGCTTGCCTGGTCCAGGAGCTTGCCTGGTCCAAGAGCTTGCCTGGTCCAGGAGCTTGCCTGGTCCAAGAGCTTGCCTGGTCCAAGAGCTTGCCTGGTCCAAGAGCTTGCCTGGTCCAAGAGCTTGCCTGGTCCAAGAGCTTGCCTGGTCCAGGAGCTTGCCTGGTCCAGGAGCTTGCCTGGTCCAGGAGCTTGCCTGGTCCGGGAGCTTGCCTGGTCCAGGAGCTGGCCTGGTCCACGAGCTTGCCTGGTCCAGGAGCTTGCCTGGTCCAGGAGCTTGCCAGGTCCAGGAGCTTGCCTGGTCCAGGAGCTTGCCTGGTCCTGGAGCTTGCCTGGTCCAGGAGCTTGCCTGGTCTAGGATCTTGCCTGTTCAGGAGCTTGCCTGGTCCAGGAGCTTGCGTGGTCCAGGAGCTTGCCTGGTCCAGGAGCTTGCCTGGTCCAAGAGCTTGCCTGGTCCAGGAGCTTGCCTGGTCCAAGAGCTTGCCTGGGCCAGGAGCTTGCCTGGTCCAGGAGCTTGTGTGGTCCAGGACCTTGCCTGGTCCAGGAGCTTGCCCGATTAGGAGCTTGCCTAGTCCAAGAGCTTGCCTGGTCAAAGGGCTCGCCTGGTCCAGGAGCTTGCCTGGTCCAAGAGCTTGCCTGGTCCAAGAGCTAGCCTGGTCCACGAGCGTGCCTGGTCTAGGAGCTTGCCTAGTCCAGGAGCGTGCCTGGTACAGGAGCTTGCCTGGTCCAGGAGCTTGCCTGGTCCACGAGCTTGCCTGGTCCAGGAGCTTTCCTGGTCCAGGAGCATGCCTGGTCCAGGATCTTGCCTGGTCCAGGATCTTGCCTGGTCCAGGAGCGTGCCTGGTCCAAGAGCTTGCCTGGTCCTGGAGCTTGCCTGGTCCAGGAGGTTGCCTGGTCCAGGAGCTTGCCTGGTCCAGGAGCTTGCCTGGTATAGAAGCTTTCCTGGTCCAGGAGCTTGCCTGGTCCAGGAGCTTGCCTGGTCCAGGAGCTTACCTGGTCCAGGATCTTGCCTGGTCCAGGATCATGCCTAGTCCTGGAGCGTGCCTGGTCCAGGAGATTGCCTGGTCCAGGAGCTTGCCTGGTCCAAGAGCTTGCCTGGTCAAGAGCTTGCCAGGTCCAGGAGCTTGCCTGGTCCAAGAGCTTGCCTGGTCCAAGAGCTTGCCTGGTCCAGGAGCTTGCCTGGACCAGGAGCTTGCCTGGTCCAGATGGAAAGCGGGAAAATGGGGCGGGGTGATGGAAAGCGGGAGAATGGGGCGGGGCGATGGAAAGCGGGAGAATGGGGCGGGGTGATGGAAAGCGGGAGAATGGGGCGGGGTGATGGAAAGCGGGAGAATGGGACGGGGTGATGGAAAGCGGGAGAATGGGGCAGGGTGATGGAAAGCGGGAGAATGGGGCAGGGTGATGGAAAGCGGGAGAATGGGGCGGGGTGATGGAAAGCGGGAGAATGGGGCGGGGTGATGGAAGGAAGGAGAATGGGGCGGGGTGATGGAAAGCGGGAGAATGGGGCGGGGTGATGGAAAGCTGGAGAATGGGGCGGGATGATGGAAGGAGGGAGAATGGGACGGGTTTATGGAAGGAGGGAGAATGGGGCGGGGTGATGGAAAGCGGGAAAATGGGGCGGGGTGATGGAAAGCGGGAGAATGGGGCGGGGTGATGGAAAGCGGGAGAATGGGGCGGGGTGACGGAAAGCGGGAGAATGGGGCGGGGTGATGGAAAGCTGGAGAATGGGGCGGGATGATGGAAAGCGGGAGAATGGGACGGGTTTATGGAAGGAGGGAGAATGGGGCGGGGTGATGGAAAGCGGGAGAATGGGGCGGGGTGATGGAAAGCGCGAGAATGGGGCGGGGTGATGGAAAGCGGGAGAATGGGGCGGGGTGATGGAAAGCGGGAGAATGGGGCGGGGTGATGGAAGGAGGGAGAATGGGGAGAAGGAGGGAGAATGGGGCGGGGAGATGGAAAGCGGGAGAATGGGGCGGGGTGATGGAAAGAGGGAGAATGGGGCGGGGTGATGGAAGGAGGGAGAATGGGGTGGGGTGATGGAAGGAGGGAGAATGGGGCGGGGTGATGGAAAGCGGGAGAATGGGGCGGGGTGATGGAAAGCGGGAGAATGGGGTGGGGTGATGGAAGGAGGGAGAATGGGGAAAGGTGATGGAAGGAGGGAGAATGGGGCAGGGTGATGGAAAGCGGGAGAATGGGGCGGGTTGATGGAAGGAGGGAGAATGGGGTGGGGTGATGGAAAGCGGGAGATGGGGCGGGGTGATGGAAAGCAAGAGAATGGGGCGGGGTGATGGTAAGCGGGAGAAGGGGGCGCGGTGATGGAAAGCGGGAGAATGGGGCGGGGTGATGGAAAGCGGGAGAATGGGGCGGGGTGATGGAAAGCGGGAGAATGGGGCAGGGAGATGGAAAGCGGGAGAATGGGGCGGGGTGATGGAAAGCGGGAGAATGGGGCGGGGTGATGGAAGAAGGGAGAATGGGGCGGGGTGATGAAAAGCGGGAGAATGGGATGGGGTGATGGAAAGCGGGAGAATGGGGCAGGGTGATGGAAAGCGGGAGAATGGGGCAGGGTGATGGAAAGCGGGAGAATGGGGCGGGGTGATGGAAAGCGGGAGAATGGGGCGGGGTGATGGAAGGAAGGAGAATGGGGCGGGGTGATGGAAAGCGGGAGAATGGGGCGGGGTGATGGAAAGCTGGAGAATGGGGCGGGATGATGGAAAGCGGGAGAATGGGGCGGGGTGATGGAAGGAGGGAGAATGGGGCGGAAGGAGGGAGAATGGGGCGGGGAGATGGAAAGCGGGAGAATGGGGCGGGGTGATGGAAAGAGGGAGAATGGGGCGGGGTGATGGAAGGAGGGAGAATGGGGCGGGGTGATGGAAGGAGGGAGAATGGGGTGGGGTGATGGAAAGCGGGAGAATGGGGCGGGGTGATGGAAGGAGGGAGAATGGGGCAAGGTGATGGAAAGCGGGAGAATGGGGCGGGGTGATGGAAAGCGGGAGAATGGGGCGGGGAGATGGAAAGCGGGAGAATGGGGCGGGGTGATGGAAAGTGGGAGAATGGGGCGATGGAAAGCGGGAGAATGGGGCGGGGTGATGGAAAGCGGGAGAATGGGGCGGGGTGATGGAAGGAGGGAGAATGGGGCGCGGTGATGGAAGGAGGGAGAATGGGGCGGGGTGATGGAAAGCAGGAGAATGGGGCGGGGTGATGGAAGGAGGGAGAATAGGGCAGGGTGATGGAAGGAGGGAGAATGGGGTGGGGTGATGGAAAGCGGGAGAATGGGGCGGGGTGATGGAAGGAGGGAGAATGGGGCGGGGTGATGGAAAGTGGGAGAATGGGGCGGGGTGATGGAAAGCAGTAGAATGGGGCGGGGTGATGGAAAGCGGGAGAATGGGGCGGGGTGATGGAAAGCGGGAGAATGGGGCGGGGTGATGGAAAGCGGGAGAATTGGGTGGGGTGATGGAAGGCGGGAGAATGGGGCGGGGTGATGGAAGGAGGGAGAATGGGGCGGGGTGATGGAAGGCGGGAGAATGGGGCGGGGTGATGGAAAGCGGGAGAATGGGGCGGGGTGATGGAAAGCGGGAGAATGGGGCGGGGTGATGGAAAGCGGGAGAATGGGGCAGGGTGATGGAAAGCAGGAGAAAAGGGTGGGGTGATGGAAAGCGGGAGAATGGGGCGGGGTGATGGAAAGCGGGAGAATGGGGCGAGCAGATGGAAGGAGGGAGAATGGGGCGGGGTGATGGAAGGAGGGAGAATGGGGCGGGTGATGGAAAGCGGGAAAATGGGGCGGGGTGATGGAAAGAAAGAGAATGGGGCGGGGTGATGGAAGGAGGGAGAATGGGGCGTGGTGATGGCAGGAGGGAGAATGGGGCGGGGTGATGGAAAGTGGGAGAATGGGGCGGGGTGATGGAAGGAGGGAGAATGGGGCGGGGTGATGGAAAGCGGGAGAATGGGGCAGGGTGATGGAAAGCGGGAGAATGGGGCGGGGTGATGGAAAGCGGGAGAATGGGGCGGGGTGATGGAAAGCGGGAGAATGGGGCGGGGTAAAGGAAAGCGGGAGAATGGGGCAGGGTGATGGAATGCGGGAGAATGGGGCGGGGTGATGGAAGGAGGGAGAATGGGGCAGGGTGATGGAAGGAGGGAGAATGGGGCGGGGTGATGGGGGGTGATGGAAGGCGGGAGAATGGAGCGGGGTGATGGAAAGAGGGAGAATGGGGCGGGATGATGGAAGGAGGGAGAATGGGGCGGGGTGATGGAAGGAGGGAGAATGGGGCGGGGTGATGGAAAGCGGGAGAATGGGGCGGGGTGATGGAAAGCGGGAGAATGTGGCGGGGTGATGGAAGGAGGGAGAAAGGGGCGGGGTGAAGGAAAGCGGAGAATGGGGCGGGGTGATGGAAAGCGGGAGAATGGGGCGGGGTGATGGAAAGCGGGAGAATGGGGCGGGGTGATGGAAAGCGGGAGAATGGGGCGGGATGATGGAAGGAGGGAGAATGGCGCGGGGTGATGGAAGGAGGGAGAATGGGGCGAGGTGATGGAAAGCGGGAGAATGGGGCGGGGTGATGGAAAGCGGGAGAATGGGGCGGGGTGATGGAAAGCGGGAGAATGGTGCGAGGTGATGGAAAGCGGGAGAATGGGGCGGGGTGATGGAAGGAGGGAGAATGGGGCGGGCTGATGGAAGGAGCGAGAATGGGGTGGGGTGATGGAAGGCGGTAGAATGGGGCGGGGTGATGGACGGGGTGATGGAAAGCGGGAGAATGGGGCGGGGTGATGGAAAGCGGGAGAATGTGGCGGGGTGATGGAAGGAGGGAGAATGGGGCGGGGTGAAGGAAAGCGGGATAATGGGGCGGGGTGATGGAAAGCGGGAGAATGGGGCGGGGTGATGGAAGGAGGGAGAATGGGGCGGGGTGATGGAAGGAGGGAGATTGGGGCGGGGTTATGGAAAGCGGGAGAATGCGGCGGGTGATGGAAAGCGGGAGAATGCGGCGGGGTGATGGAAAGCGGGAGAATGGGGCGGGGTGATGGAAAGCGGGAGAATGGGGCAGGGTGATGGAAAGCGGGAGAATGGGGCGGGGTGATGGAAAGCGGGAGAATGGGGCGGGGTGATGGAAGGAGGGAGAATGGGGCGGGGTGATGGGAGATGATGGAAGGCAGGAGAATGGGGCGGGGTGATGGAAGGAGAGAGAATGGGGCGGGGTGATGGAAGGGCAAGCTCCTGGACCACGCAAGCTCTTGGATCAGGCAAGCTCCTGAACAAGCAAGATCTTGGACCAGGCAAGCTCCTGGACCAGGCAAGCTCCTAGACCAGGCAAGCTCCTGGACCAGGCAAGCTCCTAGACCAGGCAAGCTCCTGGCCAGGCAAGCTCCTGGACCAAGCAAGCTCGTGGACCAGGCCAGCTCCTGGACCAGGCAAGCTCCTGGACCAGGCAAGCTCCTGGACCAGGCAAGCTCCTGGACCAGGCAAGCTCTTGGACCAGGCAAGCTCTTGGACCAGGCAAGCTCCTGGACCTGGTAAGCTCTTGACCAGGCAAGCACTTGGACCAGGCAAGCTCCTGGACCAGGCAAGCTCCTGGACCAGGCAATCTCCTGGACCAGGCACGCTCCAGGACTAGGCAAGATCCTGGACCAGGCAAGATCCTGGACCAGGCAAGCTCCTGGACCAGGCAAGCTCCTGGACCAGGCAAGCTCCTGGACCAGGAAAGCTTATATACCAGGCAAGCTCCTGGACCAAGCAAGCTCCTGGACCAGGCAAGCTCCAGGACCAGGCAAGCTCTTGGACCAGGCACGCTCCTGGACCAGGCAAGATCCTGGACCAGGCATGCTCCTGGACCAGGCAATCTCCTGGACCACGAAAGCTCCTGGACCAGGCAAGCTCCTGAACAGGCAAGATCCTAGATCAGGCAAGCTCCTGGACCAGGCAAGCTCCTGGACCAGGCAAGCTCCTGGACCAGGCAAGCTCCTAGACCAGGAAAGCTCCTGGACCAGGCAAGCTCCTTGACCAGGCAAGCTCGTGGACCAGGCCAGCTCCTGGACCAGGCAAGCTCCTGGACCAGGCAAACTCCTGGACCAGACAAGCTCCTGGACCAGGCAAGCTCTTGGACCAGGCAAGCTCTTGGACCAGGCAAGCTCTTGGACCAGGCAAGCTCTTGGACTAGGCAAGCTCTTGGACCAGGCAAGCTCCTGGACCAGGCAAGCTCTTGGACCAGGCAAGCTCCTGGACCAGGCAAGCTCCTGGACCAGGCAAGCTCCTGGACCAGGCAAGCTCCTTCACCAGGCAAGCTCCTGGACCAGGCAAGCTGCTGGACCAGGCAAGCTCCTGGACCAGGCATGCTCCTGGACCAGGCAAGCTCCTGGACCAGGCAAGCTCCTGGACCAGGCAAGCTCCTGGACCAGGCAAGCTTCTGGACCAGGCAAGCTCTTGGACCAGGCACGCTCCTGGACCAGGCAAGCTCTTCGACCAGGCAAGCTCCTGGACCAGGCAAGCTCCTGGAACATACAAGCTCCTGGACCAGGCAAGCTCCTGGACCAGGCAAGCTCTTGAACCAGGAAAGCTCCTGGACCAGGCAAGCTCCTGGACCAGGTAGGCTCCTGGACCAGGCAAGCTCCTCGACCTGGCAAGCTCCTGGACCAGGCACGCTCCTGGAACAGGCAAGCTCCTGGACCAGGCAAGCTCCTGGACCAAGCAAGCTCCTGGACCAGGCAAGCTCCTGGACCAGGCAAGCTCCTGGACCAGGCACGCTCCTGGACCAGGCAAGCTCCTAGACCAGGCAAGCTCCTGGACCAGGCAAGCTCCTGGACCAGGCAAGCTCCTGGACCAGGTACGCTCCTGGACCAGGCAAGCTCCTGGACCAGGCAAGCTCCTGGACCAGGCAAGATCCTGGACCAGGCAAGCTCCTGGACCAGGCAAGCTCTTGGACCAGGCAAGCTCTTGGACCAGGCAAGCTCCTGGACTAGGCAAGCTCTTGGACCAGGCAAGCTCTTGGACCAGGCAAGCTCCTGGACTAGGCAAGCTCCTGGACCTGGCAAGCTCCTGGACCAGGCAAGCTCCTGGACCAGGCAAGCTCTTGGACCAGGCAAGCTCTTGAACCAGGCACACTCCTGGACCAGGCACGCTCCTGGACCAGGCAAGCTCCTGGACCAGGCAAGCTCCTTCACTAGGCAAGCTCCTGGACCAGGCAAGCTGCTGGACCAGGCATGCTCCTGGACCAGGCAAGCTCCTGGACCAGGCAAGCTCCTGGACCAGGCAAGCTCCTGGACCAGGCAAGCTCAGCTCCTGGACCAGGCAAGCTCTTGGACCAGGCAAGCGCGTGGACCAGGCGAGCTCTTGGACCAGGCAAGCTCTTGGACCAGGCAAGCTCCTGGACCAGGCAAGCTCCTGGACCGGGCAAGCTCTTGGACCAGGCAAGCTCCTTGACCAGGCAAGCTCCTTCACCAGGCAAGCTCCTGGACCAGGCAAGCTGCTGGACCAGGCAAGCTCCTGGACCAGGCAAGCTCCTGGACCAGGCAAGCTCCTTCACTAGGCAAGCTCCTGGACCAGGCAAGCTGCTGGACCAGGCATGCTCCTGGACCAGGCAAGCTCCTGGACCAGGCAAGCTCCTGGACCAGGCAAGCTCCTGGACCAGGCAAGCTCAGCTCCTGGACCAGGCAAGCTCTTGGACCAGGCAAGCGCCTGGACCAGGCGAGCACTTGGACTAGGCAAGCTCTTGGACCAGGCAAGCTCCTGGACCAGGCAAGCTCCTGGATCGGGCAAGCTCTTGGACCAGGCAAGCTCCTTGACCAGGCAAGCTCCTTCACCAGGCAAGCTCCTGGACCAGGCAAGCTGCTGGACCAGGCAAGTTCCTGGACCAGGCATGCTCCTGGACCAGGCAAGCTCCTGGACCAGGCAAGCTCCTGGACAAGGCAAGCTTCTGGACCAGGCAAGCTCTTGGAGCAGGCACCCTCCTGGACCAGGCAAGCTCTTGGACCAGGCAAGCTCCTGGACCAGGCAAGCTCCTGGAACATGCAAGCTCCTGGACCAGGCAAGCTCCTGGACCAGGCAAGCTCTTGGACCAGGAAAGCTCCTGGACCAGGCAAGCTCCTGGACCAGGCAAGCTCCTGGACCAAGCAAGCTCCTGGACTTGGCAAGCTCCTGGACCAAGCACGCTCATGGAACACGCAAGCTCCTGGACCAGGCAAGCTCCTGGACCAGGCAAGCTCCTGGACCAGGCAAGCTCCTGGACCAGGCAAGCTCCTGGACCAGGCAAGCTCCTAGACCAGGCAAGCTCTTGGACCAGGCAAGCTCTTGGACCAGGCAAGCTCTTGGACCAGGCAAGCTCTTGGACCAGGCAAGCTCTTGGACCAGGCAAGCTCCTGGACCAGGCAAGCTCCTGGACCAGGCAAGCTCCTGGACCAGGCACACTCCTGGACCAGGCATGCTCCTGGACCAGGCAAGCTCCTGGACCAGGCAAGCTCCTTCACCATGCAAGCTCCTGGACCAGGCAAGCTGCTGGACCAGGCAAGCTCCTGGACCAGGCATGCTCCTGGACCAGGCAAGCTGCTGGACCAGGCAAGCTCCTGGACCAGGCAAGCTCCTGGACCAGCCACGCTCCTGGACCAGGCATGCTCCTGGACCAGGCAAGCTCCTGGACCAGGCAAGCTCCTGGACCAGGCAAGCTCCTGGACCAGGCAAGCTCAGCTCCTGGACCAGGCAAGCTCTTGGACCAGGCAAGCTCCTGGACCAGGCGAGCTCTTGGACCAGGCAAGCTCTTGGACCAGGCAAGCTCCTGGACCAGGCAAGCTCCTGGACCAGGCAAGCTCTTGGACCAGACCAGCTCCTAGACCAGGCAAGCTCCTAGACCAGGCAAGCTCCTTCACCAGGCAAGCTCCTGGACCAGGCAAGCTGCTGGACCAGGCAAGCTCCTGGACCAGGCATGCTCCTGGACCAGGCAAGCTCCTGGACCAGGCAAGCTCCTGGACCAGGCAAGCTTCTGGACCAGGCAAGCTCTTGGAGCAGGCACCCTCCTGAACCAGGCAAGCTCTTGGACCAGGCAAGCTCCTGGACCAGGCAAGCTCCTGGAACATGCAAGCTCCTGGACCAGGCAAGCTCCTGGACCAGGCAAGCTCTTGGACCAGGAAAGCTCCTGGACCAGGCAAGGTCCTGGACCAGGCAAGCTCCTGGACCAAGCAAGCTCCTGGACTTGGCAAGCTCCTGGACCAGGCACGCTCCTGGAACAGGCAAGCTCCTGGACCAGGCAAGCTCCTGGACCAAGCAAGCTCCTGGACCAGGCAAGCTCCTGGACCAGGCAAGCTCCTAGACCAGGCAAGCTCTTGGACCAGGCAAGCTCTTGGACCAGGCAAGCTCTTGGACCAGGCAAGCTCTTGGACCAGGCAAGCTCTTGGACCAGGCAAGCTCCTGGACCAGGAAAGCTCCTGGACCAGGCAAGCTCCTTCACCAGGCAAGCTCCTGGACCAGGCAAGCTCTTGGACCAGGCAAGGTCCTGGACCAGGCAAGCTCTTGGACCAGGCAAGGTCCTGGACCAGGCAAGCTCCTGGACCAGGCAAGCTCCTGGACCAGGCAAGCTCTAGGACCAGGCAACCTCCTGGACCAGGCAAGCTCCTGGACCAGGCAAGCTCTTGGACCAGGCAAGCTCTTGGACCAGGCAAGCTCTTGGACCAGGCAAGCTCTTGGACCAGGCAAGCTCCTGGACCATGCAAGCTCCTGGACCAGGCAAGCTCCTTCACCAGGCAAGCTCCTGGACCAGGCAAGCTCCTGGACCAGGCAAGCTCCTGGACCAGGCAAGCTCCTGGACCAGGCAAGCTCCTGGACCAGGCAAGCTCCTGGACCAGGCAAGCTCCTGGACCAGGCAAGCTCTTGGACCAGGGAAGCTCTTGGACCAGGCAAGGTCCTGGACCAGGCAAGCTCTTGGACCAGGCAAGCTCTTGGACCAGGCAAGCTCTTGGACCAGGCAAGCTCTTGGACCAGGCAAGCTCCTGGACCAGGCAAGCTCCTGGACCAGGCAAGCTCCTGGACCAGGCAAGCTCCAGGACCAGGCAACCTCCTGGACCAGGCAAGCTCCTGGACCAGGCAAGCTCTTGGACCAGGCAAGCTCTTGGACCAGGCAGGCTCCTGGACCAGGCAAGCTCCTGGACCAGGCAAGCTCCTGGACCAGGCACACTCCTGGACCAGGCACACTCCTGGACCAGGGTTTAGGGACCAGGCGCACCCTAAACCCCAAGCTGCTGGACCAGGCAAGCTCCTGGACCAGGCACGCTCCGGACCAGGCAAGCTCCTGGACCAGGCAAGCTCCTTGACCAGGCAAGCTCCTGGACCAGGCACGCTCCAGGACCAGGCACGCTCCTGGACCAGGCAAGCTCCTGGACCTGGAAAGCTCCTGGACTAGGCAATCTCCTGGACCAGGCACGCTCCTGGACCAGGCAAGATCCTAGACCAGGCAAGATCCTGGACCAGGCACGCTCAACTGCGTTCCAGTTGTTTGTAACAATATTCGGGTCGTTGGATGCTTTCCCCTACGCCTATAGGGATCCGTGCGCTTCCTTAGCATTTGGGGGCAGGCACGGTCGTCGTCGCGGGCGCCGAACTTTTCTGTGCGCGCGAACCAAGCTGAAGTTGCTCTGGTAGGTGTATTTGAACATGGGCCACCCGAATATGCAACAATATTGGGGTCGTTGGATGCTTTCCCCTACGCCTATAGGGATCCGTGCGCTTCCTTAGCATTTGGGGGCAGGCACGGCCGACGTCGCGGGCGCCGAACTTTTCTATGCGCGCGAACCAAGCTGAAGTTGCTCTGGTAGGTGTATTTGAACATGGGCCATATGAATAT